GTTGTTTCTACTCTTCGATCATATTAAAGTGGCATAAGTGTTGTTGCCCAAAAACCAGCTCATATGGTGTGTGATTTGTAGATCTTGAATGACAAATATTCATAGAATCTGGAGCAAAAAAAAAATCAATAAAATAACAAAACATATACAGTAATTCACTAATATACTTACATGTAACTACCGGGAGACCGATGCTCCAATCCCTTTGGTCATTATCTTCCATCCATGAAGAGAGAACATTTTTTAATGTTTTGTTGGAATTTTCGACCAAACCCTGCGATTGTGGGTGGCGAGGACGCCCATTAATTACATGGATTTCTTTCCACAAACTGAGAAGTTCATAAATAACTTGCGCAGTAAATTCCCGTCCATTGTCGCTTTGCAAAATATATGGAGGGCCGAAGACAGTAAAAACAGAAAATAAGAATACAGCAGCCTCCGAAGCCTCCTTAGTACGTAGTGGACATGTCCGTGAATAGCTTGTGAAGTGATCACGAAGGTGCGCAATGTACCGGTAGTCTTGATCTGGATATTTTTCAAATGAAACAAGGTCTACTTGCACACGTTGCAAGAACTTTTTTGAAAGAATAGTCTCTCTGATAACAGGTGCCGGAAAATTTCGTCGTGTACAACATTGTGTACATCGAGCAACATATAGCTCTACAAATGATCGAGGAATGTAGGCATATTGCCTGCTTATCTAAAATATAGAATAAATTAAAAGCCAAAAAAAAAAAAAAAAAAAAAACAGTAAAATCCCAATATAAATTAATAAATATTACTTACTGCATCGAAAGTTTTTTTTGAACCAGAATGTCGATACGTGCTGCCATGCATCTTTCCAAGGACAGTATAAAGGTTTTGAAACGGACAAATAACCCGATCTGATCTTTCACTTGCATTTTTTAGTTCCATAAGTTGAAGGATCGGGTTCTGGGATGTTCCGAGATCGCGTAAGTAAAAATTATTTTTGGCCCATAAACGGTCTTTAGCAGTTCCATTAGATGTATTTGTAGGATTTTTTAGAATACTAATTATCAGATCATAGTCTTCTTGGGTAATGATGGCCTTTCTTCGTTGCATAGGATTATGGCTCGATAAAAATTCTGATACAAGCTGATCAAAGGCAATACGAGAAAAGAAGGGAAAATCCGTGTCTTTATCCATAATATTTTTTTTACGTTAAATAATCTGGTTAAAGGGTTAAAAGTGAATCGTACAATCTTGTCCTATCAGGTAAACTATTTACTTTCGTTTTTCTTTTTAAATTAAAAAGAAAAATTACTAAGCGCATAAAATTTTCCTTATTTTATAATAAATTTATTTAAACTCCCGATTGCATCATAATTAAATAATTAATAATTTACTTTCGCTCTCTTATGATTGTACACACTTTTATAAACCTGCTATACTTTTATAAACTTGCAATTATACTTCTATAAACTTGCAATTGAATATTACGTTGAACAAGTATCAATAAAATATTTACTAATCGCTTAAGTCGCGATCGATCATTCATTTGCATGCCAGCAATCGATCGTACGTACTCACGTGCACAGGCTTTAATCGAGTATCGATCAATACTTATCAATCCGGGTAACCCGCATAAGAATTCTAAATCGGGTTACCCGATTCCGGATTGGGATGGCCGGATTCCGAATCGGGCGGATTCCAATCCGGGGTACAACATATATATATATATAGGAAGTTAGTTAAAAGCTCTGTAAAATATAATATAAATAATGGGCATGCAAAGTTAGAGCTGCAGTGCAGCACAGTTCCCATTTTGTTATTCCATTGATCCAGGAGAATAATATTTTGCATTTGTATTATATAACAATAGATGTTTATTTAAAGTTAAACATTTAACATAACTAGACTACAGGACTAACTTGTGGAAACATGCCCGATCCAAACTTAATCCCACACCTGGTGTGCAGACGTAAAAAATTTATTTCATTGGATCAGGTACATTTCCTCTTGTTTATTTTTTAAAAACTTTATTATAAATTATATAAACAAACAAATGGAGTAAAAAGCTAATTCATTTCAGATAACCATAATAATGTTTATAGTCATCAAAGCTTGTATCGAATAATTCATACATAAGGGCAATTTAACCATAATAATGTTTATAGTCGTCGAAAGCGTGTATCGTTTAACCATAATAATGTTTATAGTCGTCGAAAGCGTGTATCGAATAATTCATACATAAGGGCAATCTTTCCACGTTTGACCATATGTCCCTTAAAAATTTCTTATATATACATACATACCTTAATATTTTGGGCAGGTAGGTAGGACAATGTAGGTAGGTCAATGAAGATAATTCCTTTAAAATATCTCGCTTTCTAGATGGTGATAGCGAATAGAAGAACATAATTTGAATAAATTAATTTACAAGGAACTTGCTGCCGCAATCTAAACCAATAAAATTCTAATAATAAAATTGATTAATTGTTAATATTGAAATTGCCTATTTTTTGAATTTTGATGATATTTACGCTATTCGTTTCACTGACAGGAATTCATTTGCAGCACAAGTATTCGTTATAAATATATGTTTTATTTCTCTAGTAATATTTTTGAAAAATTAACTTTTGAAATCATGAATATAAAAATTAAAAAAATTTGGATATATTTGAAAAATATTTTTATAATTATACGTAAATTTGCTGTTCCGGCATCTATTTCTTTTTTTTTTCCCCTATGTCCCGTTATTTATGAATTTTTAGTAGTCGCTTTTTATCCTCTTTTATGTTATGGTTACATAATTATTTTTATCCCTTATGGGAAAGCATTTTTAAAATTAAAAGAATTATTTTTGATCCATAAGCGAACAGTAATATTACACCCATCCTTTTGTATAATTTGCATATCTTGTAATAGCAATTTACTATCAGAAGTTTTAAATTTTTTATAATTTTTTAAATAGTACCATGAGCACACTTCGTCATAAATTTCAGATGAACTAGGTCTCTTTTCAGGTTCAGTATCCCAACATCTTTGCATTAAATTACTGAAACAAGGTGGTGTTCCATCTCTTATTTGAGGCCGAATTTCACCACATTGTATCTTTAGTTGCAAATCTACGTCATATTCATGACCATGAAATGGTCGAGTTCCGGAAGTAAACATCCACATAATGATTCCAAAACTATACACATCTGATTTTTGAGTGTATGGTTGTACGCCAAGGATTTCAGGAGCAATGAATGGTAACATACCATATATCTTATGAGTAGTATCTTTATGATCATAAGGATGTGATAATCCGAAGTCAGAAATATAAGATACATCATTATTAATTAAAATATTGCGACAATGTAGATCTCGATGAATTAAACCCTCATTATGAATAATTTTAAGGCCATGTGCAATATTTGCAAGAATAGGC